CCATCAGTTACTCATATACGTTAACGAATTTCTAGTCAGCTAATGTAGTAATTTTCTACCAGGGTCCCTATTCGTGGAACATGTCCATATTCATAAAATATGAAAATTCATGTCTTTGTTATGCAACTTAATTGATTAAAAAGTTGTAGTAGTTATCTATTTTATGTATCATTATGAATTTCAAAAATAATTCCATAAATAGGAACAAAGTTACACATAACCTATCTTTTGAACTGTACGTATTATGGTATCAAACTTCAACGAGTAATTGATATAATTTTAGTGAACAAATAAACATTATAACTATTTCTGTTAAATACAATATTGTTATGCAAATGAAAAAACTTTGATTATCTTAGAACATTATACTAAATTTACGTTTTTAAAACAATTTCATAAACAGGGACGTAACATAAAACAACAGGTACAATATTTCATAATTATGTAAATTTTAGCCTTATAATTTTTTTATAAAACAAAGTAATTAAACAACTAAGAACTATATTTAAAAATTAGAACAATAACTATAAATTTATAGCACACCAGCTAATACCGAAATTTCTACTATTAAAGCTCACAGTTAAGAAAAAAGAAATTAAAGAAACAAGTATGATAAATTTGTGGTCATAATAGGGTCATTTACCTTAGTGAACAGTGTTGTAGGTAGCCGGGATACCCAGCTGCATGACTTCTACCTCTAGGCTTCATGCATTGCCGGTGAATGACTGTGTATGTGATACGTTGTTCGGGCCTACTATAACCACACTTATTTAATTTAATTGCAGGTTGTTTCGATTTTACTTCAACACTACCTAGCAGATTCAACTGAACTATAGCGCAAAGCTAGCGTATTTTTGCGAAACTTTGAGCTTATTTGTTGCTTTTGTTATCAATTTTTTCAAGATAAAAACTTCACTCAAACCATCAAGGAAGTGTCAAAAATCGGTATGCAAAATTTCAGCAAAATCGGTTGTGTAGTTTTCGCGGTTAGCAATTACAACGGTTTTAGCGACTTTGCGTTATATACTAGTAAGATAAGATAAGCATAACACCCTACCAAAAGAAAATACAATTAAGCGTGCGTTTTTTTCGCTCAGTCTTAGTCTGTAGAAACGTACTAAATTTGACCTGTACAACCTTTAAACTAACACCAGTGTGTCAAATCTTTTGTTTTTAGATTCAAATGTCATTATATTAAAAGATAACTAATTTTCAGAACCTTATAATAACGTATGCATGTATGGTACATTAGATAATAGACATTCAAAAATAACGTAAAATAATTTTATGATATCTTTACTTCAACAAATTTTTTTCTAATTGTCTTTTGTAGTATATAAACAAGTCCAATGGTATACTCTTGATTAAATTTATTTCGTAAACATTATAATTTTTTCTACAATTTAATGCAATTGATCTTTGAAAAATTTCGCTAAGCAATTTACTCGATGTTTTGAAGTGGGTAGTGATTGTACTATCAATAGAATTTTTCTAGCGCAGACTATAGATTTCTGAGTTAAATTCTACTAGTTTTGCGATCACTGTCAGTAAATTGAAAGACAGTGAAATAGATGGTAGCCACGTCAAAGTCATTTTATTATACATGGATGTAATAATTTTTTTTGTTTCTCTATAAACATGACATTTATATACACTATACATTACACACTTTGTCTATACGCAGTAAAATTATTTAAGAATAGCACAACCAATCACTGAATTTTACCGCCAGCTTTACTATTCTTTGACCCACTGTATGTATCTATTTCAACTATTCCTACTACGAAGAAAAAGGCTTGAGTCACACGATAGTCAATATTTTATGTTAGAATGAGTATAATATATTATGTACATGTTATACACGTATAATTAAAGAGAAGTGATGGAAAAATATAAAATAAGTTTTGTTTTATAAGGTAAAGTACAGTGATTCTTAATACCAATAGTCACATAATATATTTACAAGTACAACTATTCAAACCCGATTTCAAATTCGTACTATTCTGTAGGTACTCATCAGCAGTGCTCTATGTAAAGCTGGGAAAGCATAGGGATTGGGTTTTAGTTTAAGTACGTTTATTGGCATTTGTAAAACATACATATAAGCCATTGGGATTGGGATCGGTCTATAGGGACTCCCCCCTACCACATAGCTCAGTGTAGGCTAGAATCACGAGTCTAGCAGAGGAGAGAGAGAGAGTGGGTTACACACTTGTAGTCAGTCTAACTGTGCCTACCGACTTGAACAGTCGGACCACAGTTCAATAAACGAGAGTACAGTACACGCAATAACGTCTATTTCTTTTGCCCAGGTTATCTCTCCCTTCCTCTCGAGCACGCTTGCGCTACAGGTCACATAGCACTGACGCCATCTGTGAGTGATCTCGATAACTATGGAGGAAAGGCTTTTCGTCAGACTGGAATTAAAGTGTACGTACATATTGTATATATGGTGGATTAAATTATTTACAGTCAAGATTGTGTTATCTCTGTTGTTAAATATTGTGTAAAGTATGAGGTATTTAAAAGTGTATATATTAGTGGCATTGTAATAGTTGTATTACTAAAACTGATTCACTAATCTTTGATTCTTTGCAAATCAAATGTTTATATCCTATGTCACATGCAGACTACTCAAGCTCTTAATACAGAAATCTGGCTTTCGGTGTATGAAAATGCACTTAAAAGTAGATAAAATGTTCAAAAGCCGTACACCAGTTTGCAGAAATTTCATGAAAGGAAAACGACAAATCTACAAAAAACTATTTAATATAAATACTATAGACGCCGATGTAATACCAACATACGTTTTGGAAACATTGGGAGTTCTTGTATTATATATATCGGATGTATAAGCATTAGATTTGTAAAGAATCAAAGATTAGTGCATCAATTTTAGTAATATAATGCAATTGTCCAAACGCAATTAATGCGTACACTTTTACAGAACCCCATACTTCTCGCAAATTTTAACAATAGAGGTAACACAATCTTGATTATAAATAAATAAATCTACTATATGTACAGCAAACAGCATATACATTTCACTTTTAGTCTGACAAAAAATCTTCTCTTTGTAGTTTTCGAGATCGCCCATAGGTGGCGTGAGCGCCATGTGACTAATCCCAATTATCCCAAATTGGGTTATTGGGTTTCCAATACCCAAACACGCACTCGACATTAAATTTAAGTAGCTCATAGTCACTCGACGTCCAATAAAGTGTGACATTTTTCATACTTACTTAAATCTATTTGATATTTATCGTGTCACGTTGGTAGTGAACATACATATGTAGACCATTTCACAAAAAATATAAAGCAAAAAAAAACTTTCAACACTTAATTTCCATGTATTAAGTACAATGTGTATTACTAAATATTACAGTAATTAAAAGTAAAATCATTTTATTTTATATGCGTAAAATATGATACATAACGTGCATTATACTTTTATTACGTACTTCTTAAAATAAATATTTTCAGCCTGCTAACCTATCACTGAATGTATTTGATCAATATTTTAATCTTAAAACTGCATTTGATACTTTACCTTTATAAGTCAAAGTATCATATGCGCAACAATTGATGTACACATTAATCTTTTTCACAATGTTGATAAAATCACGGTGTAAGTAATATTATGTTATTGTGGACCCTTCATTGTATTCAGCATTTTGTCTGCCCTTAATGATACTTACGAACCCATAATTATACCATGCAGCACCCGAAACACAACTTTCAAACTTTTTTTACATGAATATTGATAAGTCAACAATTAACAGTTTTAGTTTTTTTGAAGCTTAATAATATTTAAACTAATTTAAATAACTTACTAATAATGCAAAAAGGGAGTTACAATTATCTAATGATCTCATTTAAAAAAAAAAAGAAGGTTTTTTAAGCTAATCTCTCAAAAAACTGAAATTATACTGCACCATTGTTTTACCAGGGGCTTTATCTCAATATTAGATGTTTCGCAAAACCATGCATTTTGACATGCATGTAGAACTCACTTGCGTTGCAGTTAATGCAATTTTGGTGTACGCCACGTTATGTTAACTTTTGGATACATCACGTCTCCCCAGGGGACCTATCACGATTTTGATACATCGCAAAATCCTAAACTGTTCTCGATAGTTCCTACGAAATATCAAACGCCGGTTATATGCTTGTTCAGTTTAGAAACTGTCGAAAAAAAAAAATTTTTCTTTGAGTGTTTTATCACGTTATGCAATGCATGGCAAAATAAAAAAAAAATTTGTTAGTCCTTATGAAATGACAAAAATTAATACTTGTGTGGAGTTTAGTAACTGTATATTTAAAAAAATTTACTTTTGCGATTTATTGAATACCATGAGAGAACCACTGAAATCTGATTCCAACTCCTCGATATCTTGCAAGTTCCTTTAAGTGGATCGATTGCTCTGTTACGTAACTCTTTCTATCTTTTGGATGGGCTTAATTATGTATATAACGTGTAATCGACCAACTTGCGGCGTTTTGGGAAAATAAGGATCAGGGGTCTTATTTACTCCTTTGACATACGGGATTCTGTTCGAGATTGATCGTCACGAGAGTGAATTTACACTTTGGGCTGTTTTTAATGACAGTAAAGAAATCTATGCAGATGAATAAATGAAACTGTAACGTGACGGTCAGTGGTATTCCTCATACCGTAACAGTGAATCAGCCCCCAGACCTCTGGTTAACGTACTAGGAGTATATGTCTTAAAAATCAATGTAGATACTAGCACTATGAACTGGTAGAATTCTGCGTCATGTAGGAACTTATACTTTTTGAAAACTAGTTTTTACCGGGATTGGCAGTAATTGCTGCTGTGCAAACAGAAAAAATAGCTATACTCAGTATTTTGAATAGTAAAATTACTGTAAACAATAAAAATTTCCTAGCCCACGGAATATCAGCAGTATGCGCATAGAACTGGTACCATAATTTTCAGTTTTACGAAGCTTCATAATTTTTCTTTTTTTACTGTTTCGTTGCCTCGTTACACTTATCCATACGCATGGAACTTATGGGTATTTAAGCTCTTATTAAAATGTTAGTCCAAAAAAAATAAAGATACGAGAAAAAAAGAGATTGAAATAGCGTTAATAAATAACGATCGTACATCAATATGTAGAACAATTTTATATCTCTTATAAAGCCGATAGTTTTGCTAAAGTAACCGGCAGGCATTCTTTACAAAATTTCGCTTCTTATGATGTCTCATCTTGCTGCTCGCTCGCAGGACGATCGTTCCATTGCTCGGATTCCGGCTGCCCACCGAGCCATTCGGACTGAAAGCACCTGCAAAAATATAAACAAATTACAATTCAGTATTACTAACCAGGAATTGATCCGAGAAAACATTTTAGAACGTTATTTGTGTTAAACTAAAGTTTTACTTAGTACGATAAATGTCCGAAGTAGGAAAAAGTACTTTTCTATATAAAGCATTTTTCCTCTGTAAAATGTACAGGTATTCGAAAAACCTACGGAATGAGTTGCAATGGTAAACAATTGGTTATATTGGTTCAGTTGCAAATAAAGTAACGGATGAAATAGCAATATTTTAAATTTGTTCATAATTAATAAATTAATGATCTGTAATGTATTCTCATCTATACACCCTAATATAACCTCAAGAAGGACTACCACGAGTGAATATTCTCGAACAGGCAATCGAGTCAAAGTATTAGATATATTAGCTACGAAAAACGATTTACAGACTATGCACTCACTTATAACGGAGGCCGAACGAGGCCCGGACGTGTAGAATCTAAAGTCATCCTCATCTTCGTAGCGACGCATTTCGTAGATACATCGAGCCGCCAGGTGCCGGAAGACGCTTATTACGCCGACGTCCTCCTTTACCGAGGTACGTAGTAGCTTGCAGCCTAACGCTCGGCCCAGCCTTTCTGCTTCGTCTCTGTTTATGATAAACATTACAATAATAGAGAAACATTACATCCTAAGAAATATGTTTTTTTTTTTTTTTCGAGAAATGCACCTCGAAAGTTCTTGTACAAATGACAAATGACTATAAAAAGATTGCGGAGGAATAGAAAAACTTTTTACGTAGGTCAATTCGTGTGACTATACCTCATAAGTTCAGAATGTTCCTAAAGAGCGATTTAATTCTGATTTGAACAAACCATACATATCCCTGTCGTTAATGAGTAACGAAAATATCACTAAAATTCTTGCAATTCTCTAAATTTATGCGTTGAGTTAATAATATTTGCGTAGTGGAGCACCACAATAAATGTAAAATTAACAAAAAATGATATTTCTTCCGGAATTCCACGCGACTATCAACTCTACTACAGAACTACTAAACTTTACTACAATTAACTCAACTTTACTACAGGACTAAGTATCTGTGCATATTGCACTGAATTTCAGAAATTAATAGCAACATGTTTTAGTTATTTTGGATATTGCAAAATTTTAGTGTCATGTGATCATCTAAAAATAATATCTTGACTAAAGACAAATTACTGAAGACAATCGAAATCTAAAAGCAAAAATAGTTTGGCTCTAATTAAATAAATTTTTTCTCAAAATACAATCAATTTATTATCAAAACAAGTATCTGATTTTTCAGCAACACAGACTTATTGGAAAATTTACGTTGGATTTTGTTAACCAAATTACTTATGAGATATATTTATATTTGGCTATACATTTTATACATTGTAGTAATTCAGAAATTTTTATATAAAACCACCATTTTTAGAAAAATCTGTACATTAACGACATGGAAATTTTTTTACAAGATACGTAAACGCAAAATGCTGATTTTTTTTCGTGCAATTTTTGTTTTGGTTAGGAAATTTTGGACTCTTAAGTTAACCACACTTTCATACAGACTAGTAACGTATTAAATAAGAGAGACACTTTAACTATGACGTTTACTGCGAATCGCGATATCAAAGTGTGTTTTTCAGAACCATGCAGTAAAATAAACATAATTGTATACGTATATTTACCAGAAAAAAGGCTAGATCGGAGAATCCAAAATATGCAATGACTGTCCAAGGTTTGCAATTTTTTTCTTTTCTTTTTTTTTTTTTTTTTTTAATATACACGAATGGTTTATATTTTTCTCATACCCCTTCTATCTGTTGTTGCTAAAAGTATTTGTTAAAACGAAATAATATTCTTTATATGCTGCAACCAGAGTTTGAGCGTATTCAAGCTTGGCAAAGGATTATTGAAGATCTCACTAGTCTTTTAGCAGATTGTTCGAAAAAAAAAAAAAAGAACTTGCAAAACTCTCATTAGCATTAATTTTTTCAATCATTTTTAAACTTTTAAATATTTGTTACTTCCCTCAAAATTATATCAAAATACTTAACAACCCTTAACTAAGAAGCATTTAGTTGAAAAATTGAGAATCCTGCTTTTTGTGTCTTGCAGTTCTTATATTTTTGTCTTGTATTAAGAGATATCTATAAATGCTGTATTAGAAGTTTTTCAAATACTACTTGGATACAATTAAATTGAGATATTGAAACGTTTTCATCATCAACCATTTTTAAGTATTTTTAAGATACTAAAATAACTATTATTTGTAATACTATGAATCTGACGACAGTAGGATATTGCAATATTAAAGTATGACTCTAACGGCAATGCTGTCCAATGGTCTTTATTTATTTATTAAAGCAACGTTTCGGCCACTTTAGAATGAGGCCTTTTTCAAGCACTATAAATTTCATACAAATCATGACAAAATTAATAAAAAGGTAAACAATTATACAATCGCTCGTAGTTTAAAACACTAAAACTTACAATTATATCACAGTACACAGGCTTTACGTGATCGCTTACATTTGTCGAGATCTTACTTAATTGACTGTAGCCTGTAAGCGACTCGAACATACTAACGAAAATTAATTTCTATACAGAGGACAGGTATCTATGAGGCAGGACCAATACCAATACATACATGTGCAAGAGTTGAAATGGTTAATGTATGTATTAGAGAAGGCGTGACCTATATGAAATGATATTTTTGAATAAAATTTATTTAGTTATTATGCTATAAAAGTTTAAACATATTAAATAAAAAAGATAGTTATAAAAATCATAGTATAACCCCATATAATGACCATATTGGCTTACCGTTTTCAAAAGACTATGAATATGAGATAAAGAAGATTTCAAAAAAGTACTATGTTAACGTCATTTTTAAAAACATTAATAAAATTAACACAAATAATCAATTAGGTAAAGACAAAATAGAACCGCGTTACAAACCAAATACAGTGTATAAAATTAATTGTCTAGATTGTCATCGGTATTATATAGGTCAATCAAGTAGAACACTGCAAACACGAGTTGGTGAACGCATAAGAAATGTTAAGAAAAAAGATGACAGATCTGCATTGCATTACCATGTGAAAGATTCAGGACACAATATAGATTTTGAATATGGTAATGTACAGATTTTAGATGTTGAAAATGTAAGGAGTAGGCGTGAGGTATCAGAAATGATACACATAAGTAGAAATATCCATAACTTGAATAGACAATTTGATACACAAAATTTATTACCAATGTTTAAAGAATTTATCAAAAGTAATTTACACTAGCCGCAGACAATAGCATAATAACTAAATAAATTTTATTCTAAAATATCATTTCATATAGGTCACGCCTTCTCTAATACATACATTAACCATTTCAACTCTTGCACATGTATGTATTGGTATTGGTCCTGCCTCATAGATACCTGTCCTCGGTATATGCTCCGTGCATCAGGTTGGAGGGGATAAAAAAACGACCGCAGCGCTGTAGGTGAGCAAAGTTGGCGAACCCGTACCCCCATGAATCGTACAGTAAGCGTTGTCTTGCATGAGAAAAGATATCAATTCATTTAAAGTAATTAGTTGAGAAATCGAAGGCGGAAAACAAATGTTATTTAGCCAAACCAGGTCTATAATACAGATAAATAATTTTGCTAGGCACTTTAAATCGCCCGAAATTTTAAATAATGGGTTATTAAATATCATCTGTCATATAGTACACAACACACATACTTATCTGTAATGTTGTATACGTGGAAGCAAGAACTCCAACTACTCCAAGCAGTTGACGTACTTAGGCTGCCGCTAGCTGTGACNCATACCTAACGGAGCGTTGGGGGTCTTAAAAAAGTGTAATGAAAACAGTTAAGCTTTTTTGTTTCAACAATTTTATAATTGAGATTATTGAGATTAAATTTAATGTGATAAAGTTTAAACTTTTTTGGATTTGAAAAAAAAAGTTTTTTTCCATTTTTTAAAAATTTACTACCACACTGACAGGAATAATACTCATGTTTTTTTTTGTTTAACAAAACAAATGAACCAGGAACTAGAGATATTACCACAAACAATAAAAATTTGATAAAATACAATTGTAATAAGTTATATGTAGCTAATGGAATATTTCATAGCTATGCTCTTAACATTCTAACGTACTAAGTAGTATGTATTATGTTTGTGAAAATTTAGTACGTTGAGTGGAGTTTCTATAACTACGAACTTCAAAACCAAACTGTTATGCTGTAACACATTTGTAAAAAGACGGAAAAGTTTTTTAGGTTTTTTTTAAGTAAAAGTAAAGAATATCTTAATCCTAGATTAAGACTTTCAAATGTTCACTAGCAAAAGGCAAGATTACGTTTTTTTCTTTTTTCATTATTATTTTATTATTTAACAGTCATGTCTTATACCTTTAAGCCACATTCTTCCCGAGTAAATTTTCTTGCAAAATAATTACGTTACGAAAATAGTTGAATAGCTGTAGAAATAAATAATATTTGTTCAAATGCTAGTTCTCATGAAAACCAAAATGTTACAATTGCCGAACAAAAATTAAAAACAGCCGAGCTGGTCTACGGTAAATATTCTAAAAAATTAACAACAAAAAAAAAATTTGTTGGAATAAGTTTTAAAATAAATTCTTAAACCAAGGGGTTGCAAAAATACCAAAAAAAAATATTTTGAACAATAGTATAATTTGTATATGAGGAAATGCACAAAAAATATCCCATTTTTGTCCCCCATTTTAATAAAAAAAAAATTTTTTCGAGGCACACCTTCTAGATAGAGCTCATTTTACTCGTAATGCCATGTACTATGAGGAAAAAATCTCGACAAAAATTTTGAACAAAAAGTTTAGTGAGGGTGACACCCTTTTTCCGCGATTTACATGTTAATATTATATCTATAGCTATTCATTACACTATAATATAAAAAAAATCTATAGCTATCATATACATAGAAATAATATGAACATGTTAATCGCGGAAAAAGGGGGTCACCCTCACTAAACCTCATGTCCACAACATTTTTTTCATAGTAAATCACACTACGAGTAAAATGAGCCCTATCTGGAAGGTGTGCCTCGAAAAAATTTTTTTTATTAAAATGATGGACAAAAACGGGATATTTTTTGTGGATTTCCTCATATGAAAAGAGATATTTATGAGACCATTAACAAATTCAAATCATTCTCTTATGTATCCAGACATACAACTGCAACAAAATTCCGTATCAGTGTAGTCTCATTCTACAAGTTTACTATTTTTGTATAATTGTACTACTATTGGCCAATAGCAGTAAAAAAAATTATACTTACGGATCAATGACACATTGCTCCACCAAATCCATTTTGTTCTGCACTAAGACTGTTGGAATTTCACCACACTCGTTTTCTACCTGTAAAGAAGTCAAATTATTGAAAGGATGTTTTTTCATAATACATTGGTAAAGGATTTATTTTACAATATTTTAACTATTCACGTATTTAAAAACTTACAAATATATCGATAAAAAGTATTTATTAACCGCATACAATGAGTTAACTTGGCGTATCAAATTGAATTAAATAAGCTTTAAAATTTTTAATATTCTAGCTAAAATGGGTAAGTTGGCAAATTTCAAAAACTCAAAAATTGTCAGTCTTTTGGAAAACACTGAATTAAATTACTGTTCTTTTCTTCTCTATAACGATAAATTCATTTAATTAGTGATTATGTAGAAAAATGAATTTCATAGGAATTTTTAAAAAAAGTTTTGTATAAATTATGCCATTATCGATGTCATTTTTTAACAGACCATATCAATATTCTATATTTACCATAGGCCCCCCACTCTTGGACTTTAATGTTCTTTATCTTTGTGAATTTTTTTTTAAATGAATAGTAAAGTGCCCAAAGTTTTCTGATATCCATGACAGACGTAAAAGAATTTTGTCATGCGACATTCGAATCGAGTTCAATAAAAAAAATTATTTTCCTAATCATGCAGCAAAGTCTTTGCGCCCTCGGAAAAAACTACGTTCGGACCTTGAGCACCAACATACAAAAACCCAGCTCTTCGGACGAGACTTTTTTTACTTTGTGCCATGATACGAAAATTTTTATTAGTTATTCTTTTTTTTTTTTTTTTTTTGAGCTTTAATTTATTTATAACTCTCCTATTTCTTTGGCAGCATAAATATTTACTACATCTCAGTGAATTCTCCAATTATTTGCTATCGATAACCTCCACCACAGTATGGACAGCGATGCGAGCCATTAAGCATGAAAATCAGCCTAATAATACTTGAAAACCGTTGAAAAATTGTTGGGCAAGTTGAAAATAACATTTTATATACGTAAACTGTTACGAGACATAGTATGGAGATGTTACTATATGAAATGGGTGTCAAAACAGCCGCTTCGAGCGAAACCAATGTAAATGAAAGAAAAAAAAAAAAAAAGATCGGTTTGATACGAATTTCATTTAAACTAATATTTGTATACATGAATAAATTTGGAGTTTCGTAAAAGTAACGGAATTTCGATGAAACTTTTCATGTTTTCATCAAAACATCCGGCATAGAGACGTAATTGACCAACGCTGTAAATACTAAGAATCATACATGCAGCCGTGTTAGTTTTGTTTATACTTTTAGCCGTTACCCATGCTATGGTCGTTTCGTCTGCTCCCACTTTTCAGCTGCATATAGAGCAAATGGTGTTATGCCTGTAACTAGTACAGCTACACCTTAGGTACGTACAATAATAAATAATATGTTATAGCAAGCTTGCGTGATGGTCAAATTGGATACAGAGCATCACTCCTTTTACCAAATACTTGTGGTAGCGCTGGCCCGCAGTTCCTCAGTTTGTTTTTTTTCATTGCAATTGGTGACATCAGGTTATACACAATAAGTACAAGTAAGAAAGCCATGGACATGCAGAAGATTATGTGGAAACGACGAGAAACTCTGCGGATGGAGTTAGAAAAACTGGATGCTTGTCTGCTTCGAGAAGAGATGCAAGAAGTTAAAGTCGTGATTAAGGTGGAAAAGCTACAGTACCGAAGTAAGTAATTATCCAATAATTCCATAAAAATTGTCTCTACATAATATGTATATTGTACCCATCGTCTTAATTTGATGTTATTATTGTTATACATGGGAACGCTTAGACTTTAATAAGTATTAAACCGAGCTTTACAACTTCGACGTGTTGTTTTTGTCGTGAGAACTATTACCTAACCTATACAGATATATTGTCTTTGTTCTGAAACTTGTTTAAATACACCAGATATGTGAAATCCGACGCCTTATTCATTAGTTAACTAAAATTCTGGTCAATTAAACATAAATACTAGTTTCATAAGTAAGCGCTCCAGATACAATTTCGTACGAACACAAAAAAAAACAATGTTGACTATATTCCATTACTATGTTGCCAGTAAATTTTAAGTTATTGTTTAAGTTCAAACTACAGGGTTATATGGGCTCAAGGAAAGTACCTGAAAGTTAATAATGTTCAAAGTACTAAACATAATAGACTAATCGCTCATGCAGTTCGTAGAAAAATTCAATGACAGTACTTTTTATTTTACATGCCTGGTGCTCAGAAAGTGAACGTTTTCGTCTGCTGCGCGGACGACAATATTTACTTTCTGGACACCGGGATACGTAAAATCGTATACGCACCACGTTCGGAGGTTAAAAAAAATGTTTTAGATTTCACGTTAAGGGGGCTCCTTCACGAAAGTCCCCAAACAGAGATATATTATATCTTGTAAATAAAAGTCTACTGAATTTAATGGTGGTCTAAATTATATTTCGAATGGGTCAAAATTTTGAGAAATCCGAGCTCAAAGTTGCAACTATTAGCACGTGTTCCTATGGGGCAGCGTGAAAAACAATTTGTTTTCGTTTATAATAAACCTAAATTAAAAGTCCCAGCAGACTGAATATATACGTTTTGTAGATGAAGTCTTCCTCTGTAATATGCTGTATTAAAAATTGTGAATTAAGGACCATTTTAGCGAGATATTTGTGATGGAAATAAATAAATAGTGCCCGGGAGGTCAGGAGGTCACGTGGGTAGCAGACGTACTTGTTCACGACATATATATACCATATACCTATATATTACATCGCTATACTACACCAACACAGGTGGTCTGGTCTGGTGGTGTACCACTGTACCCTCGTATGCACTAGACTAGTCAAAACAATAATTAATTTTTCGTACAAAGTTAAACTACACACATAAATATCATTTTTCCCACTTCATACGTTATTAAAAATATCATAATGATTTTCAGACACATTTGTTTATTGAAAAACAAAACTTTATTTTTTGTTTGTCTTTGACCTCAGCAGTAGTCGTAGGAGCCCCCTTAAACGCCCTCGGCTTCGTTTCGGACGTGTCTTAACGTGAAATCTGCGACATTCTTAACCACGCTACCTATTGGTGCGTAATAATATACTATATCGTTATTTATCGTTGTTTCAGTGATCATTTGTTTTAATTATCATAAATTTTTCGTTGAAAAAGATAGCCATTTAGCCATATACCGCTCTGACGTGGTGTGGAAAATGTACGACTTACCCCTTTTTTCCAAAAAAAAGTTATCAATGCATTACTCAAAATTGAAACCCAATATCATGAAAAATCGATGTTTTTAATAATTCAAACTTACGGTTTGCCATAGTTTGGATGAACATTTACCGATAACAAGTGGCTTAATGCATTGAAAATCACAACTCAGTTGACAACTGCTAACAAATAAAGCTTGAATTCTTGAAGCTTCAGTTGATTGAAGCTCGCGGAGAAAAGTGGAAATTACGATTTCTCATTACTCATCTAAAATCTTAGTTCCCATTCAATAAACAATATTATATAGCTATGAAATAAATTTAAACTTGTCAATGAAATAAAAAAACTTCAGCTTTCTCCGAACTTCTTTTAAGTCTGTACGTGATATTTCTTTCATGACAGATAAAATCTTAACTATTCACTAGTTACTTGGTTTTTAAGTTGATTCGTCAACGAACTCTTTTTTCCTATACAGAGGGCCCAACGTCCAAAGGTAGTGAAAAAAGTCTTATGTAGCAAAAAGTACTTTATGCACCTGTGGGTGTAAAACCTTTACCTAAATGTAAATAAAGTCATGAGATACTCTTACGTTAAACGTATGGAAGAAAATAAAAGAAAGTCTGTTAGCAGTTCGTTTTCACACGCAGTGTGGGATTTCTTTTCAAAATCATCAGTAGTTATAGATCTCGTTAAACTAAGAATCATAATCTGAACTTGGCACATCTTTTCTCAAGACCACAAATTGCAGATAAAAGCTACGGAATTTTTCCTAAAGCAATTTTTCCTTATTTACTATACTTTTTACCATGAAACAACGGTTATTTTTCCCCTGTACATGTAACGTATAATAAAGTACAGCAATCACGTGACTTAGTTTTACCATCCTGATATAGTTAAATAATTATAAATAAGTGAGCATTGAACGTTTCCTGAGTATATAATATATGAGCTTAAAATAACTTCATTAAGATTTTTTAGTAAATATTTTGTATTTACCTCTCTTTAAAATCGTTCCATTTCTACCATAACGTAACTTGAAATCAAAATGTAATAATGTGTAAGTATGTGTATTATCGACTGATGTAACTTTTTTCTCAATCAAAAGAACAACTACCGTAGTTTCAGAGTAAGTATAATGTCAGTAAGGATAAATTCTACTGTAAATAAAATATTATCGTAAAGCTACGGTAAAATTTACCAAACATTACATTAAAAATTATAGTAAAATATTCAGACCCAACTTAACCATTGCTTTTACAGTAAAAATTTCTGTAGCTGTTTCTTGCGTGTATGCTATGTAAAAAAGTTTGGATTTTCAAAAACGAATTTTCATTTTTTTATTTATTTTCTAAGCAACGTATTTTCGTCATAATACCGAAAAGTATCTGTCTCGAGTTACATACTATAATTTTTCAGTACAATTTCACAACATCTTTATCTACTAACGAGTTAAACACAACTAAAATATCATTTGGCAGTAAGCCGACTACAACTCGCTTTCATACAGCGCCTTCCGGGACACCGAGCACTCCGCTACTTATACCCTCATGCTGAAACCACCGAACCTTTTTAACTATCAAACTCAATTCACGATAAGCAAGGTATTTAGCCATTTTTATCGCTCTTGAACTTAAAGTTACAGAATCGCATTAAAAAACCAAATTTGTTTACATCTATGCAATTATTGATGTTATTATATTTTTCGCACATGCACTGCAATTACATAAATATTAAGTGCACGTATACTGCATCGCATAACTCAATAGACGACCTCGAAAAATTTTAATTACCATGTTTGTGTAGGTGTGTGTAAGTCCCATAAAATTATTAGTCCACAACAGTTGATCGAAGTCACGTGACACGTTTGCAAGATTGGAAAATACAACGGATTTTATTTTTCTCGTTGTGCCAATCGAAATATATAAATGACAAAAACAAGGAAGAAAAGTATATGACGAAGGAACGCAAGCATACAGAGGCACAGTAATTTTTATCACTACCTAGCAGTGCAAGATAGTATCTTTAAAAGCGTTCCCGATTGGAAAATGACGCATTACCGGTTTTGAATTTTTATTGACTCCCGGCGATCATGATGCTGCATCCAGAAGATCCGTACAGTACTGACTCGATGGAGCTGCTAAAATAGTCTCTCAATACCAGTATATTTCTCACCTTAATTTACTACATACCTACTTCGTTATTAAACGGAATCGCAGGAGTCGTATAGTATTTCGTCCGATCGCAACTTGGGATGCAGAGATAAATTAAAAGATGATGAAATTTACTTATAGACATTAAATTTTTAACGGGATTAAGATCAAGTGTGAAATACTTTTTATTCGTGCCTTTTATGGGTCACTACCACATGAGGTGTGTTTGTATACGAAAACTTATAAGCAAAGTTTTTTTGTTGCTGGTTTAGAAATGCCCTAAATGATATTTGAAATTCTACAGTTGAGTTTTCTCTAAATTTTTTTTTCAAAATCATCCATACAATTACAAATTATTATTGCAATAAAAAATGTGAGGTTGGCAGACACTTTTCTTGGTTCGTTTGAAGGTAGTCTAAAAGCTATCAAATTTAATAGTTTCATGATAAATCTTCCAAGTAAATGTATTATGTTTCAAATTATGTTAAATAAATTTTTTGTTAATTTTAAAATAACATCTTTAGCTTGCTGTAAATTTTAAAACTACTAAAATTATAAGGCTCAAAGTTTTTTCCAACTAAAAACTTTTTCCCTCCAACACTATTATAAGTAAACTCATCTAAAATCGCTACAATTTATTTCGTGAATAGACTGGTAATTAACATTTTTTTAAAAACATAATTGCCATGGGAATTTATTCTCTATGGACTGTAACGTAAACCAACCTTGATTTTCCACGAGGGAATGGCCTCGAAGGAGTCGCGATCTGTTGCTGAAAAAGCAAGGACACAGGCATGGGCTCCACGATAGTAGGCTGCAGTGATGGCATCGAACTCTTCCTGGCCAGCCGTGTCCCACAACATCAACCGCACGTCCTCGCCATCGATTCTGAAAATTTTTCAAACCAACTATTAGAATACCTTGATCATTAGACTTGTTAAAATGTACTGCTATTGTTCGTATAAGAATAAAAAAACCATCAGTACGCTTATAACTTCCGCAAAATCAGTAATTCGTTTAGTAATATAAATCATTCTTACATCGATTTCCTAAAGACAACGTGGTCTCGTAAAAAAAAAAAAAAAATTAGGTAGAATTTTCTTGAGAATAAAGTCGTCAACAATGCATTTTTTTATGGTTACAATACCCATAAAGGCTATACCGTAATTTTCACAGGCTGGCTCGAATTTTTTTCAGAAAGTCGGGTATCTACGAGCATTAAGTCTGTTTAGGTACATTCGGCAGTCATAACCAAACTGGAGGAAAGGTAAAAGTTGTGAAATCGAGTGTGAAACCATTGTCAAGTGCGATATTGTCATCAGGAAAGGAGAAATGATATTTCTCTTAATGGGCATTAGAAAAGGGAACTCAGCTATGACTGATATTGTCGCGAGACACGCTTTGAGTCTCTCCTTCGTCAGGCTGCGAAATATTTTAAGCGAGACTGAATTAATAGTTCTATGCACCGGGAAATACAGGATGAAAATGAGTTGTTAACAATATTGCAAACATGTACAGTGGATACAACCAATTATCAGATTTGCGTAAAGATATGATTCAATTTTCTATTAAACATAAAATGGTCTTTTTTACTTGTATTTAAAAAGAATATTGTTTGTAAATAATTATAAATAAAATCTTACTAAGTACCAATGTAGTGTTTCAACTATAACATTTTAAACACACCCTACAAAAATTTTTTAAATTAAATTACTTCATTTCAAGTATAAAATTTAAAATAAAATGTCAATTTAAACTACGATAAAATTTAATTTGTGAAATTACACACATTAAAATAATGTCAGTCAAATGTAAAGTAGTTAGACAAAACTATTTTGCATAAAGCATAAGTACGTCTAAAATAATTGTTATTTGACAAATGTGTTACAAATATTATAACAAATACAAATGTATTTGAATGTTCATTTCAATCACTTTAATGTGATACAAACTGGCATTCACGCACGGGCAGTGCCACCATATTGGCAGCACTGACTGCAATATAACGTACTACATTATCACTTACCTACTCGATCGATCGTTGCGATAAAAAAGTTTTGGCATCTTGCTCATATTATCCCGTGAAAAATACATTTTTTTCGCAATAGTGTGCGGAAAACACCTATTTTCCGCACAACTATTGCGAAATAGTTGTTTACGTAACAAGTGCGGGAATTCCCAAATGTGTTTGGGAATATTACTAATCATCAACTTGCTAAAATTTTAATCCACAATTAAAATTACTGCACATTTTAATATTTCACCTAATGTACACTGATTAAATTCCTAATGTGGAATCCTTGAATAGAAGTGCAAATAATCGTGATAGAGGAGTACTCTTGATTTTGAAATTTTCAAGTACCGGTGATATATGTTGATGGTGTTTATTTTAAAGCGATTATCGATAGTAAATTGTACGTGTAGGTATTCTTGATTGTAAGGTATATGCGGCGAGAAAAAACGCGCTGCTCAGACATATATCCGAGGAGCAAGAAAGCACGGCCGAGGCGAGAGAGCGGGAGGAGGAGGGAGAGGAAGGAAAAAGTTTTTCCCTCGCAAGCGCATACCTAACGGAGCGTCGGAGTAGAGAATGCATGGGTTTACACTGTATTATGTAGACCGGCGATTATGACAGATCGTGATGAGACGCGCTTCTTAAAGGTTTTCAGCGTATACTTGTGGTATGAGCACTTACGATTTTTCTTCCCATGGAGGACACAGTATACTCCCGTATGTAACAATATGAACTGTTTGCGCTACGTTTGTACCTAAGCAATACAATCGCCAAATCAAAGACAAACGTTAGCTCGTTAATTACATATATGTCCGTGTAAAACTCATAGTGGTTTTCTCGAGTTTATAAGTGCTGAACAAAATTTATTGAGATTTCTTTCGGTTGTTTCTTGAACAGCGAAAGAAGCAAGTTATTTCAGTTGAATCGTGTAGTTTTTATTTTCTTTGATAAAAATCGAAATACCGTGCAATTTTAAAAACCACAAAAGTCATTTTTCAATACTCGTTAAAGATAGTTGTCTATCTCGAGTCAATTCAAATCAAAACATAAATTCTAGGTCTTTTACCCAAAAAATAGCTAAAAAATTTTTTTTTGGAAAATCAAAAAGTTATAATAACTTTTTTATAATACAACTAAAATGTTTATTTATTTATAAAAAAACATACGCCACACCACACATTATTATCTTTTTTCATATTTTACAAATATTGATTGATTGTAAAAGACTCGAGCAGTTTTGTACTCAAGACAAAAATCCTTACAATCGATACCAATCAAATTTCCATGTATTAATCATCATTAAAATAAAATAGTCAAAATCTGTCTGTACCATTATCTCTGTTAATTCCTGGGTGTTTTTTTAAAAATTAGGTTCTCTTGATTTGTGAAAGATGCCATTCAAGTCCATATGCCTAAATTTTTCCATTACAATATTCTAATATACCTTCTTGTAAAAAAAATAAAAATTTCAATTTTTTAACTATGCTCATCTTAACACTGCATCTAAAAAATAATTACAGCATCAAAGTGTAAGAATATTTTAATTTTAACTAACAAAACCCCGTTAGAAAGTTTTAAAAGTGTAAATTTCTCGTCTCAGTATTGTCCTTATGTCTCAAAAGAGTGAGAGTCTGAATATCTATACTGCAACATTTATTGTTGCTACTTATCTTAAAATTTTCGTCCAATTCCTAAGCTCAGATTTTTCGAAGAATCACTTATTGCGTTTAGGATGAACCCGCTGGGATAAAATCCCCGCTTCCTCTTTTGGTGGAGCCACTTAAAATAACATTGGCAATGTCATGTTTGGTCCTGGACTCACCTGCAGCCCTCCGTTTACGCGACAACTTCCAAAGCTCTGTCACACTACCCCATATGATTTTTTTATTAAAAACGCAGAGCTATGAATTCATCAGAAACTAAGAGACTTTAGTACAGCATCAATTCAATATCTTAACGGCTTTTCTTCGCGATCCTCCATTTTACCGTTCAGGGTTTAACGTAATCTTATTTTTGTTAACTTTTATTGTATACCCTACGCCTATTCCGAATAGCCCACAGTATGACTTCGATCGCGCATCGTATACAGGAGCTTTAATTAAAATTAACGTATCGCTACTTCGACTATGGACAATTTGCAAAAGGTCTAGGGTACAAGATTAAATTACAATTTACTCTCACGCTAGAGTAAGTACCTGATTGAACGTCGCATCGAGCAAGTATGCACGTGACATGAGTACCCATGTCATCACTGGAGCGACAAGTAAGTGACTTTTAAGTGAAATTCCGAGTGTCACGGTATGGACAGTCCAGATTGGATACAAGTGTATATTGCTCAACGGTAGCAGCGCGTTATATCTGCATATAGGGCTCCGCGCATTCCTCCCGACTCGTTTCACAAGCTGTGTACGTACCCCACTGTGCGTGTCCAGAAACCGACGCGCTTATCGAATTAATGGACTTGCAACGGTTACGCGTACGTTTATTAGGGCCGGTGGTCAAACACCGTTGCTGGACATATCACGGGGTTCTTACTTTCTCTCACACGCCCGTTTACCGGATGGCCAGACGCCATTTCGTCCTCGCGAATTTATTTAGTTTATGTAGTGGCCATTTTTGCAGTATATTACAGACGATTCCCTAGTGATCCGTTGATAGCTACAGGTGCATGGTGCAACGGTATGTTAGACGTGTAAGGTACTTACTCGACCTCTCGCTCGAGGAAATCGACGCCGATGGTCTTCTTGTAGTCGCGGGTGTAGGTGCCCTTGCAGAACCTCTGTATCATGGAGGACTTGCCGACCGCGCCATTTCCCACTATCACCACCTGTTGACACACAAGAATGCGTTAGAAGGTTGAGATGGAAAAATGTAAGAAAATAGAGAGAGAGAGAGAGAGAGCAAGGAAGACCAGGTGGTTCGATTGGCAAATGTGTACCCCCCCAGATTGGAATCCATTCCCTGGGCTAGTCGAACTCTCTCATGTTCCTACAACATTGCAACGACCACTTGACAGGTACTTCCCACAATGGGAACCGGTTTCGCGCCGCTCCGCTCGCAGCTTCTCTCTCTGCGCTCTGTCGGCTGTATATGAGTCCGCAAAAAGCTTGCACGTGTCTCGTTCGTCATCGTCCTTATCGTTTTGTATTTTCTTTTACGATTCGCTCATCGTAAAATTGCCAGAGCGTGCCACCAGCTTGCGAATTCCACATCCGCACCTATACATGCCGACTTTGCGACTATCTTCACCCAAGCTGGATTATATTTTCAGTTTAAAGTATCGCTAAATACATCGTACGTAAAAGGGTCGATTTTTCCGTGATAAGTGTACATGCATCTGGAAACCAGCTCATAAGTGGATGGCAATTGATCTTGCGTCAAAGGTTGGTCAGTTTATGAGAGTCGCAGAAGGCAACCCGAGAGAAAATAGCGCATGAGTAAATGGTAAAGCTGAAAATCGGTTCTTCGATTTTTTTTACTCGTGTGGTTTCACCATCTGGTCGCTCGGCCATGACCGTCCTGCAAGCTCTAGTTGACATCTTAAGGCAGTTACCGAGTTACACTCTTTGTGGTCGCCAACTGGTAACAGTATTCGTGGAAAAACGTATGGAAAAAAAATCGCTGACCACTTACTTCTTCTAATATGAGTGGCAATTACCTCTGTGAAAATAAATACAATAAAACAAACGCAAGAGCGATTGCACATCTCGTTCCACGAATCAATATTGTACTTTTGGGAATCGTAGAAGCGAGCGTGACGTTATTAGCTGTTTTGATTCATAAAAAAGGTTAATTTTTCACTTCAATGTTCTCTAAATTAAAAAGTTTCGATAACTGCATAAGGTAGTTCAAGAATTTTTCATACTTGTTTTGTCCAATATTAAAAAAAATAAATAAACTGTCAGTTATCATTTGTTTCACTCAACATGGTAAATTAAGGACAGATACATTTTAAACCATCTCCGTTATTAGTTACAAAAAAAAAAAAAAGAGAGAAAAACACAGTTGATTCACATTCTCATTTTCGCTCCCTCACCCTTCATTAGATCAAAATCTTCACAATCTTGTGATTACCCTTGTTACTACTAACTAAATTGACTAAATGTCTTACGGATGAGCACATAATATATTATGTGGAGAACGAAATAGAATATCTCAAAGTTAAGCAGAAACAGAAGTTCAATATGCTAAAGAATATACACAAACAAAACATGCTAAAAAAGTATCCTCATGAAAATTTCCCCAATTGCGTGAAAATTACGGTTACACTATATTAGCTGCGATTCGCCAAGGAAGAATGTTTTAATGACCTCTTTAAAGGTAATCGAAAGCACTTGATACATTAAACTTCATTTGAAGGATATGAAAAAATTCTAAATACATTTCGTATAAATTAAACAAAACCGAAGACAACTACTTAGCCACAGGATGAAGGTTGTCATGTCCATGTGATTTGAATCGCGAATCAGTTTTTCAAAATCGTGAGTTTTTCTCACCATTAGTTTTTACATATACATCTACGTATAAATGAAAATACCAACAGATTCTAGCATAAGATAAATCCCCAAAAAGTGAATCTGCGCCTGTAAACGCTAACACCCAAGTTTTATCAGCTGAAAATCTGCCACATGTGTTGAACAAGAATTTATTCGTTTAATTATAATCCTAGTAAATACAATATTTACCAGATCGCATGTGCACGATGCGAATAACTGTAATATTCAGTTACTCAATTATCAGTTGTACAAGCACGGGTCTGCTACTCATTTATAAAATGTATTATCGAGGTACTGAGCAATCCTGCACCCATTTACTTGATTTGTTTTCGCCACGCAAAAGGAATCGTTCCATTGGCCGACGCAGCTAAGTGAGTACTACTCAGGAAATAAAAAAAAGTAAATAGAGGATGGCTCGACCGACTTTTGAAAAAGTCAGCACGAGCCAAAGGCGGCTCTTCCTTTCGAATGATATACGTTCGCATCACCTTCGCGAGGTGGATATCAGTTGACCAGCGAACCGGCTCGTTTAGCGGCTTTTCTTCGGCAAACGTGATTTTCCTTGTTTATTTTTTTCACGCAGTAAAAATTTCCCCCGAGAATTTTGATTTTTTCTTTCCGCCTTGAAACGAAGGCCTCCGAGCTTTTTTTCTCGTTTCTTATTCTTCTTTTAATGTAGCTCTAGTTAGATAAGTCGAGACGCCGTCGCAACTTTTCCGGGCTATACGACTCGAGATCGTCAGTGTGGGTAATTGCAGCTATTAGTAGTTGTCAGCGACCAACGAGTGTCCACGATATCTTTCATAAACATGTCGTGCTGAGCTACAAATGATACGTCCACGTCAGACTTTGCGATATCGATCATGGCTATTAGCGGAAAATATCGTAATAGAAGAGTCTGTATCATCATTTGTGCCAACTAATTGAGCATAAGTGTATTTCATTAAGAATTAAGTTAATATGAATTAATCACTTGACAGAATTGTGATGCTTGATAAGATGCAATTTATTTCTCGTGAATTAGAAAGACAAAAGAGGTTTTCCAAAGAGATGGAAAAGTACCTTCTTTTAGGGAACAATTAAGGAGCACAAAAGTAGGATTATTCAAAGTGAACCAGCATCTATGCACGAAACACTGAGGCAGACCATCTGGTATACACTCTTAATTAAAAGGTAATCAATTAAAGTACTCTAAAGTTTTGTTTGTTATCTAACTATTTAAAGTGTTGGACGATAACCAAACGTGCGTTGTGTATACGTAATATGCAAAAAAAGTCTTGTAGCATGTACTTGAAAATCTGATTTTTGTTCATCCATAGAATCCTTGTGACAGAACCCACGTCAAGTAATTGCGTCGATCATTAGAAATTTTTATATTGTCGATGAAAAAATATTTTTGAATCCATCAGAAGCCATTTAAAACATTATTCAAACCTCGACGGATGGAATCCGAACAGCATCAGCAGACCATCGATTTCCGTGGCGCGCAAACGTTCTCCAGCCAAAAGGTGAGATCTCATTCGCATTCGCGGATTAGGTGGTGACTGGTTGGTGGAAGTGAGGATGGAAACAAAACGGAAAAGATGAGGAGAAAGAGAGGAAGGTGCCGATACACGGGTATAACGGCACTCGCGAGCCGCTCGATATCGCACTCGTCCTTCGCGTCCTTCTTTCCGTTTCTCTCTTTGCTCGTTCGCATGCACATGTGACTGCACAACAAGTGGGTCAGCTGGGTTTGACTGCCGCGGGATTCTGTGCACGGCTCTCTCTCGTACGTGGAGTATATACCCATACGTGCCCGTGTAGGTGCTGACGGAAGAGCAATGGCGTTGCGTATGCGACGTGGTCAGCTGCCTCGAGTGCGGAAACCGGTTGCACGAGGTCGTGCCTGCACTGCTGCTGGGCATCTGGTCTCTTTATCCGAGGAGGAGTGCTACGTTCTGCTACAAAAGTCACTGACCACGCTCGCGTGCGATGGACAATATGTATTCTATTGTGACGTTTTCATTGATTAGTTAAATGCCGTGAAAGGAAAAAAGGGGTATTCTTGTGCCTTCGGGCACCCTGGCGCACAACTACACTTCATGCGATGTAGCTGCACGGAAGATCGTGGTCGGGCAGTTAACGTAGGCTAGTCGTTGTCTCATTCGATTTGGAATTAATTCAGACTTTGTGACTGCTCATTAACCACAGTTTGATAACACAACAGAATAGGCTTCGAAAAAAAAATTGTCAACTGAAGTTTCAATAAATAAGTAAAGAGCGTTAACTGAGAATAGGTCAGTGTGTTCTCGTCAATGGCTTTTTACACGTGCACTTGGATCTCTTGCGCTTGTTCCAAGTCCAAACATTAGTCACCGGTAACAATAGATCCAATCGATTGTGCTTTGTTTCTTGAAAAGGTGACTCAAGCCTTTATCGATTGTACCGGCTATTACGTTTATTTTCAACGCATGCCTGACAACATTGTCTTCTTATCACAGAGGCGTTAAGGTTTTATGACCTAGGGCCGCACTTGGCGTCCACCTGCAGACAAAGTACTATTCCGCCCGAGGGTGGAAAGTGATTAGCTCGTCCAAAGTGTGACTAATGGGCACGAAACGGCACTTTGCATCCTTGATAAGAAAAAATGATGTCCTTCGCGATTTTGGCACAAACGTGCAACTATCGCGCCCTTTGGGCCTTTGTTTGGCCCAAACGTCAAAAAATTGTTCCCTTTGTTGGGTCCAAACTTGACGATAAACGTTAAATCGAACGAAAAGCGAAAAAAATATAATTTAAAAAAAAAAGTGTTCCTGAGGGGAAATCGTTTGCGCAATGAATCGTATATGTACGTGCAGCAGCTGAGAGGAATCGATACAGTTTAATAAGTGATATTTCATCGATTGGCGGTACAAACATAGACGTCGCGATACCTACGTACCTACGTAAGCGTGTAAATAAGCCTATGCCAACGTTAAAATGAGCATGGGTCGTTGAACTCGGTCGTCGTTCGGTGGACGATTGGTTAACCGGTGTTTATGGAAAAACGTTCAATGAAATTTTAAATTCAGTATTTCCCCTATAGTATAGCGTATCAATGAGGACAAGGTCCACAAATGCGGCCTTGAACAATGTCGGGCCACTTTTGACGCAATTATTTGTACACGCAGAGTTGTTATCGTATTATTGATCACCAAGTCAGTTCGTAATATGTGTGTTTCACATTTCATGCCTAGTGTCGGATGGAGTGCAATTATTCAAGAGACCATAAAACGTTAAGTATCCGATGGCTCGTGAAAACGCGCATAGTGCGGGTAATAAAAACAAAAAAAAACATCCATCAAAGTAC